ATTTATTTAAAAGATCCACAGTTAGTTAGTGCTAGTGTGCACGTTGTTCAGATGAAAATTGAACAGTCGGATGAAAAATGGAAGAGAAATTAGCCAAAGTTTGTCTTGCTTTGTTGGGCAGAGTAAACTGAATGTGCAATAGACCTTTACCCTTTGGAGTTTAATTTTGATCTAGACAAGTCAAAAATTTCATCACAGCTTGAAAGAGCATCACAAAATTAGTAATATTCCGAAGTTTCGTTGCGAAATGTTGTAAAATGCGGATAATATAGCCTTGCGAAGTTTGCCGTTTTTCAGTCATTTTGTATTACAAACGGGAAATTGATAATCAGTTTCATCCTCTGATTATCAATTTCCCATTTTTAATGCAAAATGACTCAAAAACGGCAAACTTTGCAAGGCTATATTATCCGCATTTTACAACATTTCGCAACGAAACTTTGGAATATTACTAATTCTGTGATGCTCTTTCAAGCTGTGATGAAATTTTTTTCCAGGCATATCTAGATCAAAATTTCACTCATAAGGGGAAAGGTATATTAGCCCATTGTGTAATTTATACATGATAACTGTTATTCCTAAAGTTTCAATAGTAGTCATCAGACTCGTCGCATTATTATCTGGTATTACTACAGAATGAAAACTGAGCTAAACCAAATTCATTTGTACTGAGCAGACCTGTCAGTTTTAAACTGTTCTAACGTTACATTTGTGTAAAACACCAATCTTGATAAAGTAATCTTACATGTAATATATGTGCACAACGGCAGAAGAATAGTAATGGTTTCCTATCCTATTATTCGCGTAAGTTTGTGCTAAAGCAATTTCCAGTTGTATCCTATACGGTTGGGAATACCACATTTCAGTATTACCAACAACGCACAACTGGTACATCCATGATTGCCCTGTCCATTTAATATTATTCAGGTACTGCACACAAAGATCAAGACAGCTTATTGTATATTACTACCTATACTGGACTTGCACGTTTGAGACACCTTTTAGGTAGTTCAGACACAAACCATGGCAGCTTATTGTAGACTAGCACATTCACTGGACCAAGTTCAAAATATAATCACTGAAAAAGGTTTCACCTACTGTATTTGTTTGCAGGAGCGTTGGGGATACATTTGTCCTGATGTGGCCAAGGAATTCGCTAAATACGATGCAGATCCAGACAAGTGGATGAAGAAATTTGAGGGAGTGAACCCTATCAATAAACAGGTGGATAGAATACAAATTATCCAATGTAAACATTTACTGATACTGTATGTTTCACTATTGTGGTTTAGGTAAACTAATGGAATCTGTAAACAAATTACATTAACAATTAAATATTAAATGATTTGACATGCAGCCTAGTAGTGTATTCATCAGGGATCGGGTGTAGATTTCATTGAAAGTCGTATTTCAATGCAAAGATTTCACTCTCTGCTCTTTTTCTTTCAGAAATTTTCAGTGGATGTTGGTTATGAAAGGTTTTTAGGACCGGAGATCTTTTTCCATCCTGAGGTAGGATAGCATGTTGAATAGTGCAAAAAATGATAGGCCTTGCCGTATGTATAGTGGGGGTAAGTAAGTGTGGAATTGAGGGGGGGGGGGGGGGGGCTAATCATCCTAACGTACAGCTGAGTGCTAAGCCGAATTATGAAGGACGCAGCTCAAGCTCAAGTGCTCAACCCGATCGAGCTAGGCGAAGGCTTTCTGAGGATGCCTCTGGCAGCCACTTTGTTACTGGTGTCTGATGGCGGAGCACAGCTATATTGGAAGGGTCAGTTTGGGTGGTATACCAACCCACCCTGTCAGCATTCCCTGTTGAGGAGACTGGGGTACCCAGAGACAAATCACGAATTCCGGACTGGACTCTTTTCACTTAAGTGTCATGAGTCTGCAGCGAGAATCGAACCCACGATCTCAGAGACGAATGGCGCTTGGTCTGACGAGCCACCGAAGCCCTCAGTTTTGTATAGTATCCAATTAATATTTTCTGTAATCGTAGACGTAATGATAAATACTGAACTTTAATTTAGTTTTCAAATCCTGATTTCACCACACCAATCTCAGAAATTGTGGACACAGTTATTCAGAACTGTCCAATTGATGTCAGACGACCTCTATATAAGGTATGTGGATGGTTTGGCAATAAAAGACAGCTGGGTTTATTCTATCAACGCACAACAGCAGAGGAATAATATGCACTTCTTTCCTAGTATTCTCCCAAATTCATTTATACTGGATAGATCTGTCAGTTTTAAACTGTTCTAACGTTACATTTGTGTAAAACACCAATCTTGATAAAGTAATCTTGCATGTAATATATGTGCACAACGGCAGAAGAATAATAATGGTTTCCTATCCTATTATTCGCGTAAGTTTGTGCTAAAGCAATTTCCAGTTGTATCCTACGGTTGGGAATACCACATTTCAGTATTACCAACAACACACAACTGGAACATTTATTGCATAACCTCTCTGTAATCGAGTGTTACTACGGAGGGAAGATGCGATACCCGGAGAAAATCGGTGGTGTTTGATGAACAAGGAACCAGCTAGGTAGCCATGCTAAAATACGTCCGCACGCCACGTGGCTGAGGGTTGTATGTAATTGGAGAATGGTAGAGCGTTTGGCATCAGTTTATATCGTGTGTGGAGCAAACGTTTAGAATGGGGAGTCAGCTCAAAATAACAATTGCATTTATCTAAACATCAGTGCAAGTAGACTTGAATCAAGTCCGTCTTTCTAGAGTCCGAGGGATCGCGTGCGCCAAGCATTCGTGCACCTCGCGCGGTGCGCTCGATCTCTGTCACACTCTAGAGAGACGGACTTGATCCGAGTTTACAGTCCAATAACAGTAGTCGTCCCAGGCCACCCTTTGGTCATCTGGACCAATACTTCACAACCCAAACGGGTAATTATGGTGGACGAAGGTTTTAATTAGAGGCAGACTGAAAGCACTCTTCTCACGTGCAACTGAGGTGGAATTATAATCAGGCAACTACATAGTACAGAAATCTTGTCCCAGTCGCGTGCACAAGTCGAAAGCACATGCACCATTACGTATTTCAATCTTCTACGTAGAATATTGTGTTATCTGGTGGTTCTACAATGTTCAGAGATTTTGGACGTCGTCTTGGACGTGATGTGAAGAGAGTAGTGGATTCACGTCTCAAGTTAAGTGAGCAGTTAAGTGGTGGACGTATTAAGGTAACGTATATATACATCAAGATATACTCGCAAGGAAATGAACTTTGCCCAAATCAACATACGCCAATTTTTTCATACCACTTTGTTTCAGCCTAAGCCAGTGGATGTTCAAGTTATTACTCATCATATGCAACGCTATGCTGTCTGGTTTGGTGGCAGTATGCTTGCCTCGACAGTAAGTATTAGAAAACACTATCTTCTTATTGGTGGGTTTAGTGAGACACACATGCAATAATTAACTTTCTTTTCAGCCCGAATTTTACTCTGTATGTCACACGAAGGCGCAATACGACGAAATCGGACCGAGCATTTGCCGTCATAATCCCGTGTTTGGTGTCATGAGTTAGAGAGTCCAAGATGTAAATTCCACGTAATAATAATTCAAGTTAGATACATTTCTATATGACAAAATCTCTGTGAAATACATGCTAGATAGTTGTTCGTGCCCTGTGATTGAAATTTGGTAATTAAGGACTATCTGGCTAAATACAGTACCGTACGGAAGTAATCTTACACTGCCGTTCGCTCGTGGTATGGTTAGATAGCGATATTTGGTTCGATATACCGCATATTATTCAATTAAGCTCGGGTATTGTTAGGTTATTTCTGAGCGGTACTGAATATCGTTTGAAGAAAGGCAGTTCTAATATAGAGAAAGGTTTTTGGTATGACATCGCCTGAGGACGAGATTGGACTCCTGATTGAGCGTTCTATTAGATTACATTTGACTGCATACAACTCAGGATTTATTATGACTGGTTGGTTAAATTAGGTTTGCTCGCGCTGTGATCTATCCGAAACTTAAAAGCTTACTCAAGCATGAAAAAGCAAAAGAAACATTTTCGTCCAAGTTTATTATAATTGTCAAAACTGCCATTCTTCTATTAATAAATAACATATTTTCATAGAAATAATTATCAATTATTGGATGAGGTTGAGCAAAATATCATGATTTTATCTATGGGCCACCGACAAATCATGATATTTTGGAAGAACCGAGTTCAGTAATTGTTTTATCATTCTCTTATGAAGCTTCGTTTTATTCATCTTCCGAAAGTTCGGTAAAGCAAGCCGCCATTGTTTACAAAAATTGAAGCCAATGCGCATGCTCAGTGTATTATTTGTAGCTGAGCAACGTTTTTAACAAATGCGCATGCTCATTTTTTGCACGCAGTTATTTGCAAGTAAATTAACGAATCAAAATTAAGAATACTATAACGTGAATGATAATATCTATTATTTCTATGTGTACCACATCTAAAATGTTTTGTAATTGTTATGGAAATATTTTTCAACAAATAAAGCCATTTATAACGACAAGACTTTGTTTACTTTGTATGTTCGAACAGGAACTATACCCAGTTTTGAATCCGAGGCCTTTCGTGCATTTTCGTGCGCCGTCTTTATGTACACGTTCGTTTCGTGACTGAGAGTCCGTTTCGTTTTATGAACTTCCGTTTTGTTTTGTATGCGCTCGATTCGTGAACATACGGTTCGTTTCATTACCGTTCGTGTCGTAAACTTTCATTCGCTAAGAGTTCGTTTCGTGTGCAGAGGTTTCGGGAATATTCGTTTCGTATCTGTTCGTTTCGTGAGCAGTCGTTTCGTTTTATTATGCGTTCGGTTCACGTGTGAACAGCGCTTCGTCCGCGGAAAAAACTGGAATGACCATGGTCCAGTGGTTGTAAGCATGCTAGGCAATTGTTGGAATTGTTGCAAAATATAAACAAAGTACTTAGATTTTCTCGTCGAAAATTTGATACTTTTCACACTGAAATCAATTGAAAACAACTAAAAATTCTGGGGGGAAAATATGTACGAAAGGTTTGGATTGTCACAGATACAACTACCTGAAAAATACAAGGAGAACTTCGACGTTTCGAGCGAAGGCCCTTCGACTTGTAAAGTTGTACTGTTAGTGGTCTGCCTCGTACCCATGCGCTATGGGTTGCGTGGCCTTTGCGTGGGCCGTCAGCCTCGTACCCAGGCTCCTACTCAGACCCGCGGGTTCCGACACAAGCAGTGGACGGCTCTAGAACAAATCAAAGCGCCTGGGGACGAGGCTGGTGGGCCGTGTAGTGTGGACCACGTATACTATAATTCTGACATGAGAATATATATATGAGTAACGTCAATAATCCAATGCCGGTTTTCCACTAGGCGGGATTTTGCGCGCGGAGCGGAATTTTTCTTTGTTTTGTGATTTCTCGGGTGGAACTAATTAGAAAAGACAAAGAAAAATCCGCTCCGCGCGCAAAATTCCGCCTAGTGGAAAGCCGGCTTTAGGGTCGTGCTAACAAAAGCACTGAGGTCAACTGCGCTATAGTTCTTTATATTGCGCTTTGCCACGTTCTGAAAATAAACTGGCTGCATCTTGGAGTAACTAGCTCGAATTTGTTGCTTGATATCTTCCTGGAAAGTTACTTTTTTACAGTAACAAAGCACAGAATTGTGCCTAAACAAGTGTACTAACATGTCTATTCAAGGCAGGCTGCCCGCTTGTGTCATTGACAATGGAACGGGGTAAGTTGAATGCTCTTGTTCATTTCGGCTTGTTCCGGAAAGCAGGTGATGTGCAACCACTCCCGTGGGCCATGGGATTCAAAGGACAAAGCGATTTTCGCCTTGTATGATATTTGCATTGGAAACAAGTAAAACTCTTTGTCAATTCACCCAACATGGCGTAACTAATTGCTTATTGCACACCACCCATGCTTAGAAACTTTATTCTGTGCAATACATACTCGCTGAACTTAGCAAACTACAAAACAAGCAACTAAATGACATACTGTATACAGAGCCGTAGCTAGACTGATAATTGGAGGTGTGTGTATATTCGTGTTCTGCCCGACAGATTTCTTTCGAAAGCGATTAAGTGTTTGTTCAAGATGGAAAGTGAAAGGTAACTGGTTAAAATGTGGGTTTGGACTAAGATGTTCAATACTGTATTTATTTCTAAAATGACGTCTTTTATTACAGCATTTGGGGGATTGCTTGACCAAACACGAAAAAGTAGCAAAATCAAATTGTAATGTTTTATTTATAAGAAAAAACCCAAAATCACTAGCTGTATTCATTCTCAAAATCGCCTTGTTCACATGTGACACTGTTCACTATAAAGCGTTTTCCCAGAATCTAATCGGAAGTGAATTCGCATAAAAAAACCTAGGCTATGTCGGTTCTCAACACAGCACATCTAGTGATAGTGTGACTACGAGATATCTTTAACCATTCATACATTAAATTCAATATCTTCATCTGAACTCGTGGTCGCACTTTATTACTACTACAGACACTGCTTGGGGACCCTGGGTACTAGGTTGCTAAAACCAAATTTTAACCACTTTCCTTTCGCTTTCATCTTGAACAAACGTTTATTCGTATGCCGAAGCATAGCCGAAGTAACGATGTTGGAATAGTTAGAGATAATTAAAATTATTTGCGGGTAACTGGCCCCACGTCACAGCTCCCTTAAATCATATGTTGATGATTCAAAGATGTTCTTGTCATTTCGTGTTAAAGACGCGACTGACACAAAAGAGTACCTTCAGGAAGATCTCGGCCGAGTAGCAAAGTGCTGCTCTGAACTTCATCTACTTATTAATTAACCCGGAGACTGAAACCAAGTATTTACTTATCGGAACGCGACAACAGTTACAAAATCTCCCCACAGATATGTGCCTAAATTTTCTAGGTGAAACCGCTATCAGGCCAGTTCCTTCAGCCAAGGATTTAGGATTAATAAGGGACACCAACAGGTCGTACGATTCCCATATCACTGCATTAGTCTCCTCTTGCATGTCCAAATTGTCACAGATCAACCGAGTAAGCAAATGTTTTGATAAAGAAACTATATCCCTTTTGAGTTTTGGTATCAGCATGGTAATGAATAAACTTCTTTATTGCTCCTCTGCTTGGTCGAACACTTCGGCCAATAATTTTAACAAGCTACAACTGGTACAAAACTTCGCGTGCAGGATCGTGACAAACAGCAAGAAGTTCGATCATATCTCACCAAAACTGCAAGAACTGAAATGGCTTCCAGTTAAGGAACACTTACTTTTTAGAGATACAGTTTAGTGATGTGCAAGTGTATTAACAATCTAGCCCCACCTTACTTGTGCAATAAATTTAGTAAACGATCAAATATACATGAATGTAACACTCGTAACCGAGAGCTCCTCCAAATACCGATTTATAATACCACCACTGGCCAGAGAACATTTCATAGAGGGGCGAAACTATGGAATGATCTGGACAATAACACGAAACAAATGCCATCTTTGAGAAGTTTCAAGAATAAATTAAAGAAAGACATGTTAGACAGACTGTATTCTTAGTAATGGACTATTTTAATAATAGAAGATTTTTCCTAGTAAATTTTTAGATAGTAATCTTAACCTTGTTTTTTAATCACCATTCCATGTAAATTAGTGTTGAAAAGCCTCTTTGAGGAACACAATAAAGTATGTATGTATGTAATTTGGTATGACGTTTAAATATACAAACGTAAACGTGATATCGCCATATCGGTATTTATAAAAAAACGATAATTATCGGTATATCGATATACCGCAACAGCCTATCTCCATCCAATATGCAACCTTCCCCTCCCCCTCCCCTCCAAACATGGAGTCTTAGCTGTTGAATGTTCTTTTTTTTAGAGCATTAATTGAATGTCATATTGACGCTGGACGAAAGGATGATGCAAGTCAAGTTGCTGGAGCTGCGGCACAATTTACAAAAACTAATGTACCCAACCTCTACAAAGATGTACTGGCACTTCAGGTAAACACAAATCTCTACTATGTATTTAATGATCTAATGTGAGTGGTACACAAATAATGTTGTTCTTTAAAGATCAAAACTCAAAACCTAGATTTCAAATTGCGAAAACCTCACAGACTCTAGATATCAGTATGTCTTCTTCTTTACGCCTCATCACATTATGAAAGCCGTCATACTTGACTTGCCACAAGAGACATCTCTAATTTGCTTTTTCCTTAAAAAGAAAACGGACTTTGAGAAAGTCTTTCCTCGTGTCTAATTTGTGGGCTTGTGTGTATGAGTGTATACGTTATACCTAATCTGTAATGTACAATTCCATTTTACCTCCGTGCGTCAAGGCAAAGGTTTTACACTTTTTTTTAAATTGCAGAGAAGCGCAATTGAAATACCACATACAGTAGTACATTGTGTGCTTTGCTTAACTTAGTGACACAGATGTATATTGTTATTTATCGAGAACGTTCCAAATTGTATAATTTAGTTTTTATATTTTCTGTAGATTCAGTACAAACTTACAGAATATGGAAGATTATCAAAAGAAACAAAAAGTTCACCAGATTTACATTTGTTTTTTAAAATTCATCGTTTGAAAGTGTAAGTAGAAAGAAGACGTACAATTAAAGTAACAAAAATAACTGTACAATTAGAGGTGATGTCACTCCAGACAATTTTCAAAGACAATTCGTATTAAATGCAGCGCGTCGCCAAACTAATTAAATTTTGTGAAATAACATTAATTACAAATCATCTTACTGTAAAAAACATGAAAGATTTGCACTGGTCGTTGCACTCACGTTTAAACTTCTCTACCTTAACTCTAATGTGTTCTTTCTCAATCTTCTCTTCGGGGGATAATTCCATTCCGAGCATACGAAATGGAATCGAATCCCGTCGGGGGTGCCATTTGTGAAGCAGAATAAAATCGTCTCTACGATCAATAGCCACACGACCTGTATTTATTGGTGAACACCAAGCTTGTTCAAATGTCTCTAACTGAAGTTAGTGAGAGGCCAACCTCTTTTCCAGCCACAGAACATGGAAATGTTTTTAGTTAAACAAGCTTTCTGCACATAATAAAACAAAGACTCGAGTTATCAACAAGAATTTAAGACACGATACAGTGCATAAGTTGATTCTGGAAATGCTGTCTGCACAACTCCGTCCCTTGTTACGTTTTGGGTAAGGATTAGGGTTACTAGCATACATAAACAGCGTAACATGAATCTATAACCTAATATTTCCTAAAATTGTCTGTTGGAAATGGTGTTTGCACAATTTTATATCCTTCATTTTCAGGCAGCTTGCTGGAGATGAAAAAGCAGACGTTGGGCTTGATTTAGCCAAATTTTATAAACAACTGACAGGCATGTTTGAAACTGACGTTTCTGGAACCAGTACTGAGTTTTCTGAGAAATCTAGCACAAATGTAACAAGGACTTCCACTCCAGTTGCCATGGAAACAAATGATAGGTAAGGTATCATGATGAGTAGGAGTTTATTATTCAATATTTTTAAACCTACTGTACCACACTCATCTTCTATTGTTCTGGATAGGTTTTGGTATTTGACTCAATTAAGACCTGGTATCAACAATCTCTGGTCTTGAGATAAATGAAAGACCTCCCACTCGTTTTCTTCTCGCATACAACAAACACGAGAAAGAGTTTGTTATAGTGGTTTGAAACAACGAAAAGCGTTTTAAAAGGGATCGCTATAGCCGAGTGTTCTCAGATCACTAAGAAACGACTTCGAACTTTTGGGAAGGACTGTGTTTAGGGGAGTTACTGAGGTTGACTAAATTCCCGATGCTTGAATGTAAGGAGAGCTTGGTCGGTCTCTTCCGTAACCTGCGATTTATAGGCCTGATCGCAAGTTATCTCTTCCGTGGCTCACTGGCTCGCGGATACTGAGGTTATCCTTCTTCTCTGAAAACTAATCCTTAGGCACGCATCGCAAAATAACCAACTTACTAACCCTCGGAAAAGTTTGTCGGGATATACTGTGGGATGGTAGGAAACTGTCCGTATAGATAGATGTCCTAAATCTACCATTATGCAAACAATTACAATACTAAAAAGTTGCATTTCGTGGTGCGGAGACTCTCAAACGTGGGAGAGGCGGTACCCCAAAATGCCGGAAAAATCGGCCGTGAGAAAGGCTAATTCCTCAATATTTTTTTCTGTTTTCCTAGACTTTCATTGATCCTAGAACTTGCAAAACAATGCATGTGTTATGGTGCGTGTCGCCTGGCGGCTGATTGCTTGGACTATATTGAAAGAAACTCGAAGGTATTCTAACGTTAAATGTGTCATGTTTTTCTATCGATGAAGGAAAGAAATAATACTATACCATTGAATGTTTAAACGCTTTCATATGAGCATAAGAGAAGACTAACGTACAAAATGTAGCATCCGAGTCTTCCGATTTCGAGAAATCCGGAACCCTGTGTTCCGTTGCAAACAGACCGACTAATTTGTAATATCTTCGTAGGAGCCTTCAGTTAATCTTGTTATCGAGTTTTTACGATGCGAGTTGATGGTTAAGTCATTGGCTGAGAAACAAGAAAATTATTCTCAGTCAGTTGTGCAGGTACATATACCGTTTTGCAACAACAATTTTATTAACTGTATTTACAATACATAATATGTAAGCATGTGCATCTTCATTTCAATATGTTTTCTAGGTACGTCTGGAAGCAATTGAAAAACTAGAACAGTATTTAATGACAGCATTACGGTTTGGTGACCCACATGTAATTCAGGTAAGCTTTATATTATGCATTTCTTGAGTTGATATCTCTCTCTACTGATTATATGCACTTTGATAACGGTCACACCCCAAACCATGACCAAAGCTCAATGAGTACCCCCTACCAGCAGGGGTAGATTTATAGAGGGGTGCACAGGGGTGCGCACCTCTGTTGGCCTTTGTCAACATGGATGCAAAAGGGGTGCAAAATTCAGAAGTATGGCACAATTTCCAAGGTTTTTCCTTTTTTGAAGTCAAACTGAAGCTCATAATTCAATGCCCATATTGCAAGAAATGGCATTTCTAGGGTTCAAAATTTTCCGGGGGGCACACCCCTGAACCCCCTTGGGAGCTTGCGCCTTCGGCGCTCAAGTCATTAGAAAGCCAATTCATTTGAATGATCTCCAACCACCTCCTAAAGAATTATAAAGAAGCACTCTGCTGCCAATCCAGCACCCCCCTAGAAAAACCTTGCTGGATCCACCCCTGCCTACCAGATCTTGCTGGACCCATCCCTGGTATAACGAGTCTTGGAAGAAACACTGGGAATCTTAAGATTGACATTTACGGCAGACTGCAAACGGCAAACTTCAAATCGTATTTTGAGGTCAACTGTTAGCTGAAGCATGAGTTAGTTACGTAGCTGTCAAAAACTTGTAGAACATACCTTCAAATGCGATTTCAAGTTTGCGGTTGGCGGTCTGCCGTTAACGTCAATCTTATAAGGTCTCTACTATTAAAAACGTATATCTCTGGTCTCAATCTTAATACCTTCCTCATTAAGAAGACCCATACTTTAGGGCGACACGACTGAGGTCACAGAAATGTGTCTGCTTCATAGAGGTTCAACAGTGCAGGCTACAGGCTTACAGTCTACACTTAAACAGGATCCCACCTGATTCGGGGTAACGTTCAGTTGTATTAAATAATTCTTTTCAAATTTTTCCAGGTTGGGTGTACGACAATGTGGAACCTCTGTCTTCCTTTACTGCAGTTTAATCTACGACATCATGTCCGCAAACCTCTGAGAATACTTGCTGATGCACTGGAAAGTGTTGATAGGTGAGCGACGTCTATATTAAGAACAGTTATACTACCATTGAACGGTACTGTGCCAATATAGCCGTTATTTGTCGCTTATTTCCTTATTCAAAAAACGAAAAAACGGAATTGACTTCCTTTCTGAGAGGAAGAGAAAATATCCAAGTTTCACTGAAGTTAAATATCCAAGCTTAGATTTATTCATTCCAGCTTAGATTCTGGTGTTGGTATATGATGAATCCTCTATGAAGCCCCCTCCCCTGTCAAATATCTTCCCCTGGTCTCTTTTTAGGGGAAGCCTCTCCCCCGCAACCAAGAAACTCGTTTGCCTGCCTTACCTTTGTTCACTGCACTCCTTCATTTACCCCTCCCCCGTTCTTTAACAAACCAACTAACCAAGGCTCAAAGGTGCCTAGATTTATATACTCTACTTGTTTTGTTTTAGTCTAAACTCATTACTTCGATGTCAGATTCACACAGAGCTAGCAAAATGTGAGGAGAGTGAGGAGCAAGTCGAACAAGCAATGATTCATCTTAGAAAGGTTATTCTTTAGAATTTTGAGAAGACATTTTGGTTGCATCCTTAGGTTTCACGCAGGAATATTTTTCTCTTTGGTCGTTACCCCAACCGTAACATTTTTAAAACCCTAAATGTATGTTTGTGCACGAAATATTGGGGGTGTAACTGGAATGTTATGAGGGGAGTTAAAATATAGGTTTTTTAACAGGCATTGTCGTTGGACGATGATGGACTCTATACAGAAAGATTAGAAACATTGTTAACGCGACTTCAACTGCGAGCGTCCCTGTACACTACACCTGATAGACCAGAGGATCTTGCAGCCATGATTATTGAGCAGGTAAGGTCATTTTATGTTTTTTCTATGATGGTGATGGTGATGATGACGATGATGGTGATGTTGCTGCTGATAGTGTTGTTTGATGTGATGATGGTAGTGAGGGTGTTGGTGATACTGATGAAGGTAATTATGGTGATGATGCTGATGGCGTTCAAGACGATGATGGTGGAGGTGGTGATGGTGATAATGGTAATTATGATGATGGTGGTGGTGGTTGTTGCGTTTCCACTGTGATTTAATAGCAGTGGTGAGGATGGTATGGGTAATGACGATGGTGATTGTTGATGATGGTGGTTATGATGGTGATAATGGTAACGATGATCGTTATGATGTTGCTAGTAATAACTACAAACCATGAATACTACTAGTTTTAAATACGGCTTCAAAATATTTCCATCAGGCTCGAAGCAGTAGTGATTCTGGTACATCAAAGATGAAACGTGCGTCACTTGTTAAAGCTGGAAATGCACTTGCACCAGACGCCTTTGCTATGGTGTTAGAAAGTGAAAGTAAAGACATATCATCACATGGTAAACAACCACCAAGCCTTCTGTCAAAACTAGCTGCCAAAGCTGAACATTTTGAGAAAGCTGTTGGTAAAGCCATTGGACATCTTAAAAGATTAGGCATACACAATGACCAAGAGAGGTAGAGATCGTATTATATTTTTTTTGCTTGTTTGAAGCCAGGAATGCTATCCACCTGATAGTGATTTTTCCACCTTTGAAAAAATACCCGACAAGCTGTGAATCCCATGCATATCGACTGGGATATCCTAATCAGCGGCCAAGTTTAAAAAACGTACCCATCATATGCTACCTTCATTCAACCTTACCTTGACTGATTATTATTTGTGAAAAACATCACGAGTGGCAAAGCTTTCGAGCCCAGGTTTGAGTCCATCCAGATCTGGTAGGGTCCTCATCGAGCTTTGGTCATGGTTTAGAGTGCGACCATTGGCCAAGTGCGTAATCGGTAGGGAGAGCTACAGCAGCAAGGCATTAGTCTGTAGTCTTGCTTGACAATTTCACAATCATGTTACTATCTCATTTTGTCTCTCTTATATTTTTAATCCAAAAATTGGATTTGATCAGGACATTGGCACCTCCTTTGCTAAGGCTAGGAAACTCCTTCCCGCTGCATCCCCCAGTAATCCCCCCGTCTATCCCTGTTCGACCCGTGACGGACCGCCTTAGCTTGTGTTTTGTGCGAAAACCAGTTAATGATATGTATCTCTACCTGTTTGCTCTATTCTTAGAAACTCAAGTAGTTTACTAGGTTCTGCTCTGATTAAGGAAGAAGTAAGAGCTTGAAAATCTACAAGAATTACCAATATTGCATCTCGACTACCGGAAACGTCGAAATATTTGGCGGCATTTTCCTTGCGACAGTGAGTCAGAATTTAACCTTGCTTTGAATTTTTCAGAGTGCGCATCTGGGCGGATCTCACAAAAACAGCACGGAAACAACAGATATGGGACGTAGCGCGTGTTGCTGCCAGGTTTTGTTTACTGTATGATGACGAGAGATGGTCTTTGAAACGAGAAACCAAGCAGACTGGAGAGGATGAAGGTGGATATGTAGAGGAAGATAAGAACAATGAAGGACGTTCTTCGTCAGGGGCGGGGTCATTAAAGAAAGGTGAAGGACAGTCCAAGAGATTTTCTTATGTCACTGAAGAAGCAAAGTATAACACGGAGAAAGATTTGTTGAGAATGCTTGCCGAGGTTCATTTTATTAATGCAGAGGTTAGAAATGTTTAAATGTTTATGTGTGCAGTTTGATGTACTGTGGTGTTGGTGGTCAGTGGTTAGTGTATGTGTCTTTCACGTGGCAGATGTTCGTAGTACAAGTTGTAACAAACCTGCAGCAGACTTGTACACACTGCCAACAAGTTGTCTTCGCACTGCTTGTCCCAACTTGTCAACAAGTTTGGAACAAGCTGTTGATAACTTGTAACAACTTTGTTGATATTATCAGACTTGTTGCAAGGTTGTTCTAACAAGTCCGATACAGTCATGATATAATAATATCGTTACAACCTTGTATCATCAACCTTGTAACATTCTTGTTATATCATGACTGTATCAGACTTGTTAGAACAACTTTGCTACAAGTCTGATAATGCCATCAAGCTTGTTACAAGTTGTAAACAGCTTGTTCCAAACTTGTTACAACAACTGGGAACAAGCAGTGCGAACACAACTTGTTGACAGCTTTTGAACAGATTTGTAACAACTTGTTTGCAGACATGTAACAACTTGTGCGTTTTTACATGTGTAGCGATGCTGTTCCAACAACTTGTCAACAGGATATGTTCGCACTGGTTGTTCCCATCTTGTTGGCAAGTTGTCAACGCCTTGTTGACAACTTGCTTATAAGGTTGTTGAGCTCAACAGATTTGTCACAAGTTGTTCCAACAACTTGTTATCGTCCTGCAGTTCAACAATTTGTCAACAAGTTGTGAGTGACAGCCTTGTAGCAACTTGATAAAATAACAGCATTGTTACAACTTGTTGACATGCTTGCTACAAGCCTGTTGCGAACACATCTTGTTGACAAGTTGTGAGATTTTTACGTGTGTACACACGTAAAAACGCCCAAATTGTTACAAGTCTGCAAACAAGTTGTTACAAGTCTGTTCACAAACTGTCAAAAGTTGTGTTCGCACTGCTTGTTCCCAGTTGTTGTAACAAGTTTGGAACAAGCTGTTAACAACTTGTAACAAGCTTGATGGCATTATCCAACTTGTAGCAAAGTTGTTCTAACAAGTCTGATACAGTCATGATTTTACAAGAATGTTACAAGGTTGATGACACAAGGTTGTAACAATATTGTTATATCATGACTGTATCGGACTTGTTGGAACAACCTTACAACAAGTCTGATAATATCAACAAGGTTGTTACAAGTTGTTAACAGTTTGTTCCAAACTTTGTTGACAACTTGGGACAAGCAGTGCGAAGACAACTTGTTGACAGACTTGCTACAAGATGTGAGAGTTTTGCGTGTGTATGTGTGCTGGTGAATACACACGTAAAAATCTCACAACTTGTCAACAAGATGTGTTGAACAATAGGCTTGTCATAATGTTATAATGTCATTTTATCAAGTTGCTACAAGGTTTTCACTCACGACTTGTTGACAAGTTGTTGAATTGCAGGACGATAACAAATTGTTGGAACAACTTGTAACAAGTCTGTTGAGCTCGACAACGTTGTAGCAAGTTGTCAACAAGCTGGGAACAAGCAGTGCGAACACGTCCTGATAACAAGTTGTTAAAACAGAATTGGTACAAGTCTGCCGCAGGTTTGTTACAAGTTGTGCGTTTTTACGTGTGTAGTCAGTGGCTAGTGCATCTACCTTTCGTTTCTGTGATGTTGGTAGTTCTATGGTCAGTGCATGTAGCTTACTCCTTAATTTAATTATTTTGATTATTATAGGCTCTTGTACAATATCTCAAGTGTCAAGGTGTTGAGTTATGTGACAGTCCTACATTTCCAAACTCTGAAATTCTCTCATCTCAAGAACCTGCAGGGGCGACTGAAGACTCTCCACAATGGATGATATATTGGTAGGTTCAAAGTACTATTTACAACATGAGCGGCCGTGTTGTATCGGATATACAAGTCGAAAGCGAATGGTTGTATACCCATTTATATATCGTATGGTTGTATATCCTGTTCGAATATTTAAACGTTCGCTGTTTCGACACTTTGATATAGGAGTCTGTATTAGAGAGAGAGAGGAGTCTGTATTAGAGAAGTGTCTGTATTGGAGAGAGGGGTCTGTATTAGAGAGGAGTCTGTTTTAGAGAGAGGTGTCTGCATTAGAGAGAGGAGTCTGTATTAGAGAAGTGTCTGTATTGGAGAGAGGAGTCTGTATTAGAGAGAGATGTCTGTATTAGAGAAGTGTCTGTATTAGAGAAGTGTCTGTATTAGAGAAGTGTCTGTATTAGAGAGAGGTATCTGTATTAGAGAGAGGAGTCCGTATTAAAAAAGTGTCTGTATAAGAGAAAGTCTGTATTAGAGAAGTGCAGTATTAGAGAGACGTCTGTAGAAGCGAGGTGTCAGTAAGGAAAGGTTCGAGTGCAGTTGAAAGTGTATACTGCGTCTTTGAGAATGATCATAAAGTTCACTGTACTTCATTCTCTAGTGACTGGCTAGGTTCACTCTCTCAAACTGCAATCTCAGAATTCCAACGTGCATCAGAGTTGGGCAGTGAGCTGCAAGAGATGTGGTTAGTATGTAATTCAGCTGTATATCTGTTGAACTATACCACACATCTAGTGGCGCAGCAACGTCATAGAGAACTGATACCTATCTTGCCTTGTGTCTTGAAGAATTTGAGAAGTGTTGGACATGTAGGGTAAGTCTCTGAATATCTTGATCTTATTATGTAAATGTAGTAAATGTTCCACAAAATGTCATTGCCAGATAAATGGATTAGAGTTGTCTTTGGATTTCTTATAGATATATTAAGAGGCAATCTTTTCCTATGTCGCGTATTTGCGATGAAAAATGTTCAAAACCTAAAACCAGGGACGCCGGAGGGGCAGCCGCCCCCGTTGCCCTTTACCAGGAGGGGCAAGGGGGGCAAAGGTGCTCTTTCAATTTAAAGGATTGCCTTGGCGAAATAGCGAATTGTCAGAAATGTTAGTGCAATTCTTTTACGAATTGCTTCGGAAAACGCAAGAAATGCAGTCATCGAGCTTCAAGAATAGCACAATCGCCTGGCGGAGAACCCCCTCACACCCCTATCATCCAATAAATAGAAAACATGATTAGGCGAAGTTCAACTCCTGATGTTTTGCAAACATCTCTTAGTATATATCAATTCAAAAGTGCCCTTTCACGAAAATCTGCCCCCCTTGCCTTCACATCGTTCCGGCTTCCCTGCCTAAAACCTTTTTGCTTTTTGGCGTTCCTCCCAAAATTAATTTGTTTTAGATTTATTTTGTAGTTTACACAGTTAGCAACCTTTTTAAATGCATCTAGCGGTTGAGAAACACAAAATAATAGTTAAATATTGTCAATTTAAATACAATTATCAATGGTACTGGTAACATTGACGCCGTATTTATACAGCAATATAAGACAGACTTACTGAGCTTCAAACATCATTTTCCCTTTGGCGTACCATCTAAAATCTCTTCATTTTAGGGGCCATTCACAAAGGATGTCCGAGCCGAGGGGGGAGGGGGATTTGGAAAATCAGGACAAACTCGGACGTAGGGGGGAGGGGTTTTTTTAGCAATTCGGATGTCCGAAATTTAAAAAAATTCAAAATTTCTTTTCCCCCTATTTTGAACTCTCCTTCCCATTGTGAAATTGGCATTTTGAACACTTCATAATATTATCTAATTCTTTCCTTCAATGATGAATTCAACAGTGGCGTCAAATAAAAGCTTTCTGCATGTATGACTCTCCTTTTCTATACAATAAGTTCATCCCGTTGTTGCAGTAACACAGTTGTTTGTTTTAATTAATAATTTATATGTTTTTATCGCTTTCCCTTGAATGGACAATACTACCCATGCAGTCCCCTTAGCGGCAATTTTGCAGTACTGACGAGCTCCGTTTTCTGTGGATACAAAACAATAAAACAATTACACCCATTTGGGAAAATAATGGCTATGTGCGTGAGCACACGCCGATTTATTAATTAATCCAAAATGAATATTAATTTCCATAAATGACAATAACAGTTCTCACAGAAAAGGTGGGGGCATTCTCCCGCCACCTTGAACAAAACTAATCTATTAAGTGATCGGTAACAACACGCAACGAAAGAAAATAGGGGAGGGAAGGGTGGGACTTTGGAAGAAAGTATACAAGTGTTGATCCTGACTGACTTCGGTAGAATAACCTTACCTTGACACTCGCGCCTTTTATACGCAGCATCAGAGTAAAATTCCCAAATGTAGCAACTTCTCCCCGTAATATTTCGCTGCATGCGTTACGTCATCATTTCATTAGCTATAGTAAATCTAACTATATATGTATATAATAGGGAAAGCAATAAAATTACTATTCGGTGAACAAATAGTTCCTTTATCGCTTTCCCTTAAATGGACAATACTACCCATGCAGTCCCCTTAGCGGCAATTTTGCATTACTGACGAGCTCCGTTTTCTGTGGATACAAAACAATAAAACAATTACACCCATTTGGGAAAATAATGGCTATGTGCGTGAGCACACGCCGATTTATTAATTAATCCAAAATGAATATTAATTTCCATAAATGACAATAACAGTTCTCACAGAAAAGGTGGGGGCATTCTCCCGCCACAAGCCTCCTTGGGTAGGAGGCACCCCCACCCGAGCAGAACTGCAAAGAGCCAAACTAAACCTAACAAAGTAGGTGGTAAATCAACTGATAACGCTATCGAAATGCACATTTTAATAAATTGTTTTTATTTGCAATGCCAATTTAGTAAAAGTAAGGACCTGAACCGACCGTATACGCCTTGCCCCTGCGTCAGCGAAACGGCATGGAAACAGAACCATACCAGTACCGCGTATCAAATAGAAATGTGCGACTTAAAACACTGGTAAATAATACGTCAGCTACATGGTCAAATTATGCAGCCATATCGATCCCTATTCGCATAAGATTATTAACTTCTCAAACTACTCGTAGTTATGTTTGACATGCGAATGTACTTTCGGAATGCGTCAGATTCCCAACGCCCCATACTCGGATGGTTATAGGAATGCTTAAAATCAACGAATTTAATCTTAAGGCCAACGATAGCGCCAGACGGATCCTCAAGCTTGACCACCTGTTTTACTTGAAGAACCGCTGGAGACCGGGGACAGTAA